GGGCGACAGTTGTTATGATTTTGTATTTTTGATTTTAATTTATTTACTTGAAACAATCACAAAAATATACTTTCTCGTTATCAATGTCCTAAAAAATAAACTTCTGATATTTCTTATGTTCAGTGAGTTCAAAGTTTTCTAGTGGTATTTATCGGGATAGGAAAAACAAAGGATAATAATAAAAAGTATAATACATAAAATACAGATATTTTTTATTTTATAAAAAAAAAACAATTATTAAATTTGCCGTTATCTTTTCAATCAGCGAATATGCATGTAATGAAATTAATACAAAAAGAAAATTTTAATTCTTATTTTCTTCTTGAGACAAAACAATTTGAAACTAATTTAAATTTGGATACCTTTATAAACTTTTATCTTCCTTATATTTAAAAAATCTATTTTATTATGGAAACAAAACTTTAAAACATTTGATAAACGTAAAAATGTCTAATCATGCTTTAAACTGGTAACAACAATGAGGTAAACAAATCGCATTTAAGATTTACACACCTTTCAACTTGAAAAAGGAAAATATCTGACCTTTCTTCCCTGGATTGTTTTAGGACCACACAAAGAATTGTCCACCTTCCACAGCAATGTGTTCTTCCACCTTGCGCCTCGGCTTCTTGTTTCAGTATCTGCTCCTTCAGCCAATTTAACTGACTTAATTTAACCTCCTGACTCAATTCTCCAACACTTAACACACGAAAATCACTTCTTCAAACATTCATATAACTTCTTCGTGACCCAAGGATCTCTTTTCTCACCTGGTGCCACAACTATTTAACACGTATTCCAGAAACTGCACACTTTAGATTCAAGGATTTCTTTACATCGACTTGCAATCTACTTCTTCCACAATTCTGCTAACAAGACTGGTAACTTTATCCACTTAACAATGCCGGCCTCCAACTCACGAACACACCGCCTGTCGAGACGCAACCTTTCTTTTCGATCACTCAAACATCACTGTCTTCTCGAACCAACAAAAACTCTATCAACCCTCGGTCTGTCGATTTCCCCTTCCAAAAAGATCGTCTCATCACAAAATCCAAATTTGTTTACCACACTTGTTGGAATGCTAATTACCGTTTTCAAGCAAGGAACTTTAATCTTTTAACAATGGTCATTTCCTTGTAAACAAATAATTTTTATACATTTCAAAGATTTTTGCCTTAGTCATAATAGAAGATTTATACAACACAATACCGGACTAATCCTTCAGGTAACAGCTTATTTTCTATAATGTACAAATGGTTTGTCAATAACTCGTTTAGAATGGCTTAGTTCTTTATAAGTCATAAAATTTCGGTACTAATCTATCTATTTACAAATATACAAACTTTCTATCTTAAAATTAATACATATTTTGTCTTCAGATTTCTTAAAAACTTACTTCCGATGGATTCCTTAATTATTTTTGTTCCTTCCGCGTTTGTGGAAGAAGAAGTATAATAATATATATATATATATATATATATATATATATATATATGACAGAATCCAAACATGTAAATACAATACATTTTGGAGACGGCTATCGTCGTATTCCCGTTCTCCTGCGCCAACTCTCCCGGTCCAAAGCATGCTCCTCCTCCAAACCTCTAGATTCCATCGCTCTGTTAATTCCTTCATTCCAGCCTTGAAGTTCTAGCACTTATTCTCAAATAATCCATTTCAACTGCCAACAATCTTCTCTTCAGTTCTTCATTAATTGTCCATACTTCAGAGCGATAACAAAGAACTGATTAACCATGGTTTGCCCTATTCTTTGTTTGTTCCTTTTGGAAATGTTGCGATTCCACCATAATGATATCAGGCATCCTACAATTTTGCGTCCCTGATTATTTCGGTGTTTAATTTCGGTTTCTCGCAAGCCGTTCTTATCAATGAGTGCATCTATATATTTAAATTTTTCCACTTGTTTGGTTTCCACATCCTCGTCTATCAATACTTCAAATCTAGCATCTGAATGGGTAATTAAATATTTTGTTTTCTTCATGCTGACTTGTAACCCCCATTTTACATTTTACATTTTACGCTTTAACATAAATTCTAGATCATAAAAATCTTGAGCTAAGACGACTTAGTCATACGCAAGGTTCAGGGAGAACAGTACGTCATTTCCTCTGGGGATTCCCATTCTCTGGCAGTGGTTTTTCCAATATTGGAGGGCTGCCTCAATATATAAATTAAACAGTAAAGGTGACATACTGCATCCTTGTCTTAGTCCTTTAGTTAATTTTATTGGCTCTGAAAGTCTGTTTCCGATTTTTAGGTAAGTAATGTTATCCCTGTATACTTCTGTGATTATTTCTAAAAGGTGTTGACTCATACCGAGCTGTTGTAAAGCTGGTTAAGGCCTTTATTTTGAATGTGAAGAATTTTAAATTCGTCATTAAAAGAATGATTATGATCTAGAAGGTGAAGTGCGTATGTTGAATCTATTTTTCTATTATTGAAAGCCCTTTTATGTATCTGCTATTCGTTTATTAAAATTTCTACCCGTTTGACCGATGTAAGTTTTTGGGCAGTCGTCACATTTAACTTTGTACACACCACTGTGTAAGTGTTTTTTATTTTGGCTCTTGTTGTCCATGAAATTTTGGTGCAAAACTCACAACTAAGCACATTTTGGTACAAAACTCACATTTTAAAATAAATCTACAAAACAATCTTCATTCAATACACCCATAAAGTTTAGGCAAACAGTTTCTATTACACCAAAGTTGCTACATAAAAAAATTGAAGCACTATACCATGGCCTTCAATAGTAAACAGTTTTTCTCATTTTTCCAAAAGTTGAGCAGATCCAAACAGAGCAGATAAAACATCTCGAGCAAAAAGCGAGACAATGGGTGCTCGATCTATTTAACATCTGTCGCTTTACCTACCAGATTTCAAAACTCATCAATTCCAAAACAAATCAAAAGTAATAGCCCTTATGAAACCTGGCAAAGACCCTTAACTACCGAGTAGCTACCGTCCGATATCTCATTTGTATCATTGTCATTTGTATAAATTGTATGAACGCCTCATTTTGAACAGCATCCAGGAAACATTAGATGCAAAACTAATCCCACAACAAGCAGGCTTTAGACCATGTAAATCATGCACAGGCCAAGTGCTGAACCTAACAGAATACATAGAGGAGGGATTTGAGCAGAAAGAGATAGTAGGGGTAGCCTTGATATACCTCACAGCGGCCTATGATACGATAAACCACAGAACCTTGCTAACTAAGATCTATAACACTGTGCTTGACTATGACCTGGTAAATATCATTAGATCACTGTTGTGTAATAGACGCTTCTACGTTGTGCTAAATGGAAAGAAGAGTAGATGGAGAACCCAAAAAAATGGCGTACCTCAAGGAAGCGTTCTGGCGCCATCCTTATTTAACATCTACACCAGCGACCAACCAATGCACACTCAGACTGAGAGTTTTGTTTACGCTGACGACCTTGGTATAGCCGTAAAGGGGAAAACACTCACACAAGTAGAGTCGACAATGGAAGATGCTTTAAACATGATGTTAACTTACTATAAACAAAACTCATTAAAGCCAAACCCTAGTAAAACCCAAGTATGTGGCGCATACAACCAACTGGCGCATGTAAAACTGAATGTTTCTTGGGAGGGACAACGCTTGAAACATACTGATAGGCCCAAATATCTTTAAGTGATACTAGACCGGTCACTAACGTATAAATTCCACTATCAGAGCACAAGAGAAAAGGTCTCTACGAGAAACCACCTTCTCCGGAAACTTGTAGGGAGCAAGTGGGGTGCAAACCCTCAGGTCTTGAAGTCAACAGCTGAGGCCTTATGTTTCTCAACAGGGAAATATGCTTGTCCCGTCCCGTTCATTAGAACGACCTAATGGAATGAACCTGGACTGGAGAACCTGGCGGACACTCAACCGCATGCGCACAGGTGTTGCCCCTCTAAAACAGAACGTCATTAAATGGGGCATCAAGACAGATAGCGAGGCACTCTGTGAATGTGGGGAAATACAGAACGTGGAGTACCTGAGAGTATGCAGACTTTGCCCATCACAGTGCACCCTCGATGATTTATGGCTCGCAAATACAAAAGCTGTAGACGTAGCCCGATATTGGGTAGAAAAACTGTAGTCGGATCCAGACTCGAAAAAGTAAAGTAAGTCCAAAAGTTGAGAAACGTGGAGAAGGTGAATTTTTGCATCTATACAAATCTATTTGGAATAAACCATTTATTAAAATATTCAGCTTGACGAGAAGTATGCGGCACTGGGCATTTTCAGTGTATCTTGGTCCGAAATTTTGATGGGTACTGAACGTATTAAAAGTTTTCAGAAACAATAGAAATTATTTTAAAATTTTATTAGCCTGAAAGTGTAACTGACAGAATTTATCTTAAAGTTAGGATTGTAAATTGATATTTGAATAAATTATTTATCTAAAACCGATAGTTCTACTGATTTTTTTTTATAAAAAATTCCTCGCCTTGGACAAAACTTTCTACTTTAGCTTTAGCATAGACCTTAAGAAGAGAGTCCGCTATGTTTTCAAAGCACTGTTAGGACTCCTATAGGTTGAGAATGGATGGTCTAATAGTTTAATAACTTTTCTTGTCTTTGGTTCAGTTTCAGTCTTAGACATCTTTAAACATAAACAGGTTTTAAAATCTATTGAAAGTTTAAAGTAAACCACACTATCCTTCTGTTAAATCAAACTACACAACAAGCAGATGTTTTTACTCTCAAATAATAACTTTTTTTAGTTTATTAGTTCCTGTTCAAAGTCTACTTATTGTTATCAACAAAAACAAATTTAAAATGATTATAACATATATAGTATAGCTCTAGCTCTACTAATCGCTACATCTTAGTCACGTTTTTTGTATACACCAATTATTACTGAAAACATTCCGTAGATTTCCAAAACTGATATTTAACATACTTTATAAAAAACCGTTATTAAGTATTCTCATCTAATATTAATTGAATTTTTCAGGGCTAAAATTTCTGAAAAGCCATCGTGGAGGCATCGGCAGCCACCCCCCTCGACGTTCCACCCCTCTCGCAGGTCTCTGGCCTTCAGTTTTTAATTTGGCCACAAAGGCTGCGATCACCGCTAACGCCACTTGTGGGGAAAGGGGCCGAGAGGAGTTCTGTCGAATAGCGGATAACGGCAAAGGACGGTGCGGTATTTGCGACAATTTCAGCCCCGATCCCGGCAAAAGGCATTCTATTAATTTCGCTATTGATGGGAGTAATCGCTGGTGGCAGAGTCCTGCGGTGTATTATGGACCTCACTATGAATACGTCACAATAACAATCGATCTTAAACAGGTAAGTTTTCTTTTACGTATTGTATACGTTGGAAACTATAATTTTGAGACATATTTACACAACAATGTATACATTATTCTATATAAACTAGGTATCATGCAGAATTTAAACAAATTGTGTATCGACATCATCAGTAAATTTTAAAGTATATCAATTTTAACCCTTGAGTAATCGGGTACATGCAAATTACATGAACAGTCGGGTGGGATCTGTGAGGCCCAGTTTTTATTTTAAACAATACATTAGAGAAGACTAAAATAAAACTATTTAATATATATACAATATTTTTTACATCTTTAAGAAAATGTAAAAAAAGTTAACAAAAACGTACTTCTCTTACATTTAATAAATAAAATTATAATCCTCTATCCTAATCTAGGATAATTATAAGCCCTAATCTAAGGCTAACTCTAGCTTAGTTAGACCTAGACTCCAGAACAGATCAGAGGTAGGTATGTAAGTCAATAAAACCTCACCAACTACAGGGGGTCATGTAAGATGCCCCCTTTTCAGTTTTTAGTAATATACAAATTAACAGTCTATTGTATTTACCTTCATAAACACCTTAAGGATAGTTTTTTAATACGGAGTTCCTTTCTATGTCTTCATGTGGCCACACAATGTTTTTTTGACAACTTTTCATTAAACTGATGATGGAATGAGTCAATTCCGAAAAGATCTTCTTTAAAATAAAAATTTCAAGCTTTTAATAAGTGCTCCACGGTTTAATAATAACCACCACGTGCTTTTATCCTAAACATCGCTTGTAAGCTGAAACTGACCACAATTTACAAACGAAGCAGTAACATCTCCAGAACATCTCCTAGTGTTGGCAAAACGTCGAGAACTAATTTAAGAAGACAACGGCCTAACAGCCGAACAAACAGTTTAACAAGTTACGACCAAGATACACCACATGTATTTTAGAACAGTATGTCAAATTATGGCGAGAGGAGCTGTGGGAGAAAATTTGGCATTTATGAATCATAACGCCTACCCACATAGGACTTATAGGACACATACGATTATGACTATCTTGAGATATAGTGTATTCGCCGTTTAGAGTGGTCTACAATGTCTCCAGACATGAACCTCATTTAACATGTATAGGATGTCCTCTTCAAAGATGTTCATGCCTGAAGGAATTCTCTTAGAACCTATCATAAACTTACAATTGCCTGCAGAGAAGAATGGGAGAATCTGCAATGATTAATCGACTCTTTTAAACAGTACCTATCTAAAACAGTATTAAATCTCTAATATATATATATATATATATATATATATATATATATATATATATATATATATATAAATATATATTATATATATATATATATATATATATATATATATGTAAATACTTTTTTCTTTTTGGGTGTGGTAGTCAATAAAAAATAGAGCTTTGCTAAGGCGTACTATTTATTCTGAAATCCGAGCTTTCGGTGGTTATTTGCCATCTTTATCAAGGTCTACAATGAAAAATTACTGTGTTATAAAATTAGGCTGATGTAATATAAAAGTTATAAAAACTTACCAGAAAGTAAGATTCATAGCATATAAAACACAACGTTAAATAACATAATGTGATCTGAATTATTGAAGGCATTTAAAATTTTAAAAACTTTAAAATAACTTTAAAATAAATTTTAAATAATAAATTAAAGAACATGTTACAAAGTTTAAAAAGTAAAAAATAAGACGACATGTTTGACAAAAAAACAGTCGTCTTCGCAGGTTTGAATTCAGTCACATCTCACGAACAGAAAGAGGTAGTAGGAGGTAGTAGGTAGAGGAGTGTTCGTGAGATGTGACTGAATTCAAACCTGCGAAGACGACTGTTTTTTGTCAAACATGTCGTCTTATTTTTTACTTTTTAAACTTTGTAACATGTTCTTTAATTTTTTAAGTTATTTTAAAGTTTTTAAAATTTTTAATGCCTTCAATAATTCAGATCACATTATGTTATTTAACGTTGTGTTTTATATGCTATGAATCTTACTTTCTGGTAAGTTTTTATATTACATCAGCCTAATTTTATAACACAGTAATTTTCATTGTAGACCTTGATAAAGGTGGCAAATAACCACCGAAAGCTCGGATTTCAGAATAAATAGTACGTCTTAGCAAAGCTCTATTTTTTATTGACTACCACACCCAAAAAGAAAAAAGTATTTACATATTTTTTCCAAACTAGTCAAAAAAAATTTTGGACTACCTTATATATATATATATAATATATATATATATATATATATATATATATATATATATATAGTGAAAAAGCGATGAACGCTTGTAATCAACGCTGAGCAAATAGAATACAATACTCCAATATTTGGGTGTGCAGCGGAAGATGGGACAAAGAAATACTCTTTTTAGTTAACCAAGCTTTCGCAAATCTTTATTTGCATCATCAGGGTGCTACAATAAACAGAATTAGTATAAATTACAGAGTAAGACTTACTTTGCCTCTTAGACTAATTGAGGTTAGTTGTCTTGATGTGTATTAAATGAAAGTGGCAACTCATTTGACCCCTACAACTATGGCGAAAACTATCCAAAAATTGATTTAAAACGTTCTTTAACATACATAAAACACTTAGAACACACATACATAAACATTTAAATAAAATTATGTTAAAATAGTTACAAAATTTTATTTAAATGTTTATGTATGTGTGTTCTAAGTGTTTTATGTATGTTAAAGAACGTTTTAAATGAATTTTTGGGATAGTTTTCGCCATAGTTGTAGGGGTCAAATGAGTTGCCACTTTCATTAATAAACATCAAGACAACTAACCTCAATTAGTGTAAGAGGCAAAGTAAGTCTTACTCTGTAATTTATACTAATTCTGTTTATTGTAGCACCCTGATGATGCAAATAAAGATTTGCGAAAGCTTGGTTAACTAAAAAGAGTACTTCTTTGTCTCATCTTCCACTGCACACCCAAATATTGGAGTAGTGTATATAGATATATATATAATATATATATATATATATATATATATATATATATATATATATATATATATAATATATATAAAGTATCTAAAAAACAGTATCCATTAAAAAAAACAGTATCTCTTTTAAAATATATGTCAACGTTTTTTTATAAATGATCTATACCGTCTAAATCTATGAGTGGTTTCTGAAAATCGTTTTATAATAATAGCAAAAATTTTGGGTGATGCATAACTTTTGTATATTTGTGTATATGTACACACGATGTGTACACACGATTGTGTGTATGTACACACGATAAGAAAATAGGTGAAAAATACGTTTTTAAATTCTGCTTCAAGAACTTATGCCTTTATTTAAAAATAAGATTTATTAAATTTCAAATTCATTACTACAAAAATTAAAATTGTAGTCTAGTAGAGCAAATATATCCACAATGTGTCACCTTACGTTTTCATAATTGACCCTACAATGGACACAATTGTCCTCCATAAATCACTCTGTGGAAGACGTGTCATTAGAATTAGGACATGCACGGGGGACAAAGACGCTCGAACAATGCCAAACAATCTGAATAGCTCTGAGATTTGAAGTGGAGAATACTCGTAGAACTTCCACAGGCGGTTGGAGCGATGGGGTCAAGACTGGAAATAAAGCTCGGGTTTAAAATATTTAAGATATTTTGTTAAAAATCGCTTAAATTCTAATTCTCATATTATTTACATAATACATTACACTTTAGGGCAAATTATATGACTATATTATAGTTAGGCAGATGTCTGAAGTTAAAATACAAGACACCCGAGTATACAGGGGTATACAATATGGCTGGAATTATTACTTACTGAAATCTCGAGCTCAAATTTCCTATAAACATAAAAAGAATCAAATCTCAACCGAAAATAACGAAACAACTGAGAGAAAAGCACTGTTAATATAAACAGTCTTTAAAATGACAGCACACGGAAACTATATTGGAACAGACTTGACCATAGACTTAATAGTACATATGTAAACCACCCCTAAAGCCTTATCTCCCAAGTAGTAGAACCAATACTGCAATCAACAAATAATTTTTAAAATAATGGTACGAAGACATAAAATGTCATCTTACAATTATCCTCCTCTTATCTTTCCCTGTATTATCAGCCTTAGCAGTTCATATCGCCGTCCCCTCATTACGTGTTCCAGATATTGCAACTTTCTTATTTTTATTGTGTTTATTATTTCGCATTCTTTGCCCATTTCTCGCAATACTTCTGTGTTAGTTTTCTTCTGTGTCCATTCTATTCTAAGCATCCTCCTGTAACACCACATTTCAAAGGACTGTAACTTATTTAACTTATTTTGTAAATGTAAATCTAAGATCTTTGTTGCAGAGAATTGTTTTCATTTTTACAAACGCATTTCTTGCTAGTTCTATCCTAACTCTTATTTCGGTTGTTTGATCATTATTGTCTGAAATCCAGGTTCCTAGGTATTTGTATTTATCAATCCTTTCTATCGGTACATTTCGCAAATGTATGTTTGTTGGTATATTTGTATTCTTTGTTATTATCATGTATTTGGTCTTTTTTATATTCATTTTTAGTCCATATTTTTCACAGAAACTGTTTGTTCTGTTTAGCAGTAATTGGAGTTGTTCAGCAGAGCTTGCCATAATCACGGTGTCATCTGCATATCTTATGTTGTTAATAGATCTTCCGTTAATTATTATTCTTCACTTTGAGATAGTAATGCTTCTTCAAAAATGGCTTCACTATATACATTAAATAGTAATGGGGACATAATACATACCTGCCTAACTCCTCTCCTGATTTCAATTTCGTGACTGGTTCGTTATCTATTACGATTTGTGCTCTTTGATTCCAGTAGAGGTTTGTTATTATTCGTAAGTCCCTACGGTCTATATTTTTTGTCTTTAAAATTTGGACTAATTTTTCATGTCTTACTTTGTCAAATGCTTTTTCAAAATCAACGTAACAAACATGCACATCAACATTCATATCCATGCATCTTTGAGCTAACACATTAAAAGCAAATAACGCTTCTCTGGTTCCTAGTCCGTTTCTGAACCCAAACTGACTATCATCTATTCCTTCTTCCAGTTTTTTATTTATACGACCATGTATTATTTTCAGGAATAATTTGAGAATTTGACTTATTAGTGATATTGTTCTGCATTCACTGCAATATTTAGCGTTTGTATTTTTAGGGATAGCACAAAACGTGGAGAGTAACCATTGTTTCGGTATGTGTCATGTTTTATATACTGAGCTAAATAAGTGTACTATAATGTCTAAGGTTTCATCATTTATACATCATAAGATTTCTATTGGGATTTGGTCTGGATCTAATGCTTTACCATTTTTGCTGTTTTTTAATGCCATTTTAATTTCCTCTTTTAATATCTTTAAAACCATATCCTCTTCTACTTCTATCTCCATCTGTTTTGTTTATCTGAACAGTTCATGTGTATTCTGTTCATCTCTTTAATTTGTCGTTAGTATTCACACAAGTTTCCATTTGATCTTCATATTCCGTTTTTGTAGTTTATTTCTTTAATTTTTTATTTGTGTTAAAACTATCATGTCTTTTCTGGCATTCTTCTATTTCTGCGCATTGTTCTTTTAACCATTGTTCTTTCGCTTTCTTAATTCTGTATTTTATTTGTTTATCCACTTCTTTGTACATCTGATTATCTTTGTTCTTATATTGACGTGTTTCTTCCGTTAAATCTAAAATTTCTTCCATCATCCATTATTTCTTTTTATATCTGGTTGGTATTAGAATTTCTTTTTGTTTTTTTCTGTCTTTATTAATAACCATTTTTTCTCCGTCTCAGTATTTTGCAGAATTTGTTCTTTAACATTCATTAATCCGTTGTTAATTTCATCTGCCAGGCGTTGCCTTATGAGTGGGTTCCTCAATTTACTTGTATTGATTTTTACATTTGTTGTTCTTCGTTTTATTATTTTCATTTTGAGCCTAATTTTGGTCACTACTAGGTTATGATCTGATCCTATGTCGGCACCTGGATAGGCTTTTGCGGATATAATTGCGTTCCTGTATCTTTGTCTAACTAATAGATAGTCTATTTGGTTTCTTATAATTCTCTCTTCTTGATTTGCTGGCGACTTCCAGGTATATAGTCTTCTCTTTGGCATTTTTTTTACTTAATTAGATGGCTTTGGTAAAGATCAATTAGCCAGACGATTTTTTTTAACTATAATAATTTAAAAAAGAAAACTCATCCTTTTTTTACAATAACAATACTTAAAGTATTAGTAGTGCTTAAAGTTAAGCGTAAGCAGTGTATGTTGTGTTTTTTTTTCTATGTAGAATTTAGTTTTTTGTTTTTTTTTTATATATATATTTTTATTTTCAATTTTTTTTTGATTTGTTTTTGTTTTTATTTTTGTTTGTTTTTTTTATATGCACTTTTTTTTTAATTTTTTCGTCGCCCACTTACAAAATCTAACTAGTTGCAGGATTGCTAACAAAGGGGTGGTTAGTAATTTACAATTTCATTTTGCACCGTTTGGTGTGATTATATAAGCAGTACAATATATTAATATTCTTATTGAAAATTATACAATTTAAATTTATGGGTAAGCAAATTTTGTTATTAATAACTTTGGCATTTTGAATAATCTATTAGCTATAATAAAATTATTGTTTTTCACCCCTTTCTGTTGCCCAGACCATATCCTCCTGTACATTCTTCTACTTTTTCTTCCCCAATATTTGCGTTAAAGTCTCCCATTATAATTGTTAGACACTTATGGAGAAATGTAATTAGGGAAGCAGACCTCGCATAGGCAAATTGTAAAGGCAAAGAGAATGATGATAATGATGATGATTGTCGAAGGTTTTTCACCCACGACATACGGCGTCATTTTGCCGGATAGTTTGCTTGCACGAAAAATTTGCATCTTTTTTCTTTGCGAATTACGTGGCCAAGGTCTCTATGTACTCATATTATAATTGTTTGTACCTTTCTACCCAGTCTTGTATCTTAGTATTTTAAATACGTCATCTATTAACCTAACCTTTGGTCTAACCCGATTTGGTTTTTATCCTTATAATGTTTAATTCGGTGTAATAAAAAAAGGGTCGATGGTCACAAGTTATATCGGCAGCTGTTATATGGGCAATCCATTGAAAATTGTGGATTATTGATAAGAAGAGAATTGTGTTTAGGTCAAGCTGATGTCAAGTTGGTATTCTCAGAAATTGGTCACCGCCTTATTTCCAGAAATTTCTGTGTCGTGTTTTGTCTACAACTTCCTGTTACTTTCTATGTTAATCAGTGTGAATTGAAATACCGATTTGTTTGTTGTCGTTCAGATCGTCAAATTATTTGTTTGCTGCCGTTCAGATCGTCAAATTAAGTCAAATTACTGTACGGTGAAATTTTTGCTTTTATGTACTGTTTTGTGTATTTATTCGAGTTTATAAGTTTAAGTTTTAAAATTAATTTTTCATAAGTTGATTTTTGTGAGTGTAAGAGAGCATCTTTCTGTGCAATATGAGTGAAAAGCGGAAAAGAGTAGTTGTATCTTTAGAAACAAAAGTGAATGCAATTAAGAGGTTGGACAAGAGTGAATCAATAAAGAATGGTGATTGAAAGCGTAAGCGGAATAAAATCGAACAGTGGGTTAACCGAAGTGTGAGTGGTGGTAGTGAATTGGCCCGGAAGACTATGAAGAAATTGGACTATGAACAAACTTCTGAGGCATTGTTCTTGTGGTTTTCACAAATGATTGGGCAGTCCGATAAGTGGTCCAATACTCCAAGCAAAAGCTATCGAATTCCAGAAGAAGTTTATGGATGGAGGAGAAAACTTTTGTGCTAGTGAAGGATGGATTGACTTATGGAAAAAGAAATATGGCATCCGACAATTGAATATTTGTGGCGAAAAACTTTCTGCTTACTCAACTGAAATTGGAACATTTTATTTAAAATTACAAGACATTATCCTTAAAGATGGACTAACTTCAGACCAAATATTTAACTGTGATGAGACAGGCCTTAACTTTAAAATGCTTCCATCGAAAACACTAGCTGCCAAAAATGAAGGAACTGCACCAGGTTACAAAAAAAGCAAAGAGAGAGTCACAATCATGATTTGCAATAATGCTTCTGGTTCATTAAAATTAAAACCTCTTTTAATCCGAAAATCCAGAAATCCAAGAGCATTCAAAAACGTCCAAATAAATTGCTTACCTACAATCTATAGCAACCAACGCAATGCATGGATGGACTGTAACACTTTTAAGAACTGGTTTTTTAATGACTTTGTGCCAGTCATTGATGCCTACCTAATAAACACAAATCTGCCTCGGAAAGCTTTGTTGTTGTTGGACAACGCACGATCCCACCCAGATGCGAGTGAATTGATTAGTGGTGACATACGAGCTGTGTTCCTTCCACCCAATGTGACGTCTCCCATCCAACCCCTAGACCAAGGCGTTATAGAAGCAATGAAGAGGAATTATCGGAAGCTTCTTCAGGTACTGCTAACTAAGCTGGATGAAGGGCTGACTGTAATTGAGACAATGAAGAAAATTACGGTTAAAGATGTTTGCTATTGGATTGCATCTGCTTGGGACGATGTAAAAGTGTCCACTATTCAGAAGTCGTGGAAAAAATTATTTAAGATAAACAACAAAACACAAGACGTTCAAAATGAAACTGATGACTATGAAGTTGATTATATAACCAACCTAGCCAATCAATTACCAGTAGAACAACCAATCGGAAACCAAGACATCATCGATTGGATGAATCTAGATGAAGAAATGGAACTGACAGATAATGCAATTGCCAATCTAGTTCTAAACGTCACTCATGAAGAAGATGAAGAAGATACAGATGAGATAACTCAAAAAATTTCTCATTCCGATGGATTTAAGTCCTTTGAAGCAGCCCTCGCAT